ATCGTGCCAACTGCCTTTAAGTATCTCGACCTCCTTATCTTGTACACTGCCTTTCATGGATACCAGGCTAATCTGTAGGGGTGCCCTCTGTTACCGAAGGTGAAGGCATTGGAAGTGCTCTCAAGACCTGTTTTAAAGGTCATGTTGACTTCTATCACATTTTTGACATTTAATCAAATCCAGAACAGGCGCTGTTCGGCTTGGAAGGGGCACTTTGCATTTCCGCTAGATCCTCCTGCTATTTCCTGTTGAACAACACGTGACCCTTTGATAAGATCTGCACGCGCTTGTCGAGCGTGAACGGAGTTCCAGCTTTTGCACAGCTTTACAGGATTTTACACAAATCCACGAGAGACATGGAAAGAAATCTGGGAACCAGGCCATCCCCCCCCACCAAGCCGAACTGCGCCCTCAGAACAATTTATCTTCAAATTCCCCATTTCAGGATGCAGCAACGCGTTCAATCGCCGCATTGAATAGGATTTCAATGGATTTTCGTTTTGTCATCAAAACGATGATGGCCGATCATCCGTTGCAAGTGTTGATTGTCTTCACAGTATCTTACTGGATCTGCATGTCATGGATGTTCACGCAATGCGAACGGTAAGTAATTCTCTAGGTTTTACATGGAAAGATGATAAACGAGAAAAGCATGTGGTTCAGTTATGATGGGAAATTGGACGTGGAGCACTACTATCTCAACTCGATGTGGTTCATTATGGTGACATTCATGTCAATCGGTTACGGTGACATCGTACCGAATACATATTGTGGGCGGACCTTGTCTATCACGACAGGAATTGTGGTAAGAAATATCAAAATAGATAAAAAAGAAACAAAAAGGAAACGTTCTGAGTAAAGCCATTGTCGCTATTTCAAAGGCAGCGCCCACGGCCCACGTTCATTTGAGTTCCCGCGCCCCCTTCTGGATATCCCTATGAGGATGCAGTATGTACTAGTTTTGCATCTCAAAAGGCGAGAGGATAGCGCCGTTCGCTAGTGAAGAGTCGGCCGCCCCGCCCACCTGGCCAGCATAGGGTTCTATATAGGGCATTTTCCATGATTTTTTTCTGCTTTTTTTTTCTTCACTACTGGATCACGTATTATGAGCTCCATAACTCATTATTCTTGGGGGCTCAGCCTCCAAAGGCTAAGCCAAAGCAGTTATGGCAGCCAGGTGGGCGAGGCGACATCCTCTTCACAAGCGGGTGGCGCCATCCTCTCGTATTTTTGAAATGAGTACATTCTCCACCCTTTTCGACAAAGCTACAACATCTAAGAAGGGCGTAGGAACATCAAATGAACGCGGGCGCTGCCTTCAAAGGGTTGTGAAGAGTCGCAGTCGTTTTCGCTGCAGACGCTGTCGCGTGTAACGACGCTGGGTTTCGCGTGGCTTTAGCGCATCCTCCACTTAATGGTGGGACCAAGCGAGAACAATTGGTGGAAAACGTATTGGCGCCGCGCCAAACCCAGCCCATTCCCCCCCCCACACACACACTGCTAGAGACATGGGGTGTCTCTCTTGTGATCGCACACTGCTCAGGGTGGACCCTCTTCTCCCATCACTTGTTAGACTGTTTCACAGTGATGTAGTCGTCTAACCAGGATGAAGCTGGTTTGGATGAGACTCTAACAAGGGAGGTGTTTCAGGTCATGACGCGCTTTTTGGAAATGGTTTGTTGCTTGTTGTAGGGGTCCATACAAGGGTCACAAAAATGGGTTTCATTTTTGCTATGCGTTTCTGGGTAGGTCAAAAACTCAGTGAAAAGAATTTGACAAGAATGGGCGCTTCTTTAACCAACATTAATCGGGCACTCCTTTCGTGCTTGTAACTGTCGCGCATGCATAGTTTATGAAGTGGTCACTAAATTTAATTTTTTTTTAGACCTCAAAATAGATTCGATTAAAGTCAAAATGTAAGCATCATGTGGTGACACACTTACCATGCACCGACGCAAGAGTGATGTTTTTGTCAGCGCTCCCTTCATGACCATTGCTTGCGGATCAGATGGCGTAGCGGATAGCACGATGGGTTCTGTATGGCACGACAATGGCGGGACTCGGTTCGGATCCTCATTGCGGCAGCAGTTTTGCATTCATGTATCAACGCAACGAGACGTGAACATTTCCGGAAACAAGGTTCTCCACACAACTGTGCTGGTTTGTAAGGTGTCATCCAGGAAAGGCCAATAGGACAGCCTGGCCATTTGCAGTGAGTGCATATCATTGTACTCGTCTTGACACAATGAACTCGAAACTACCTTTAAAATTTGCGGAACGATTCTCTGAGCGGACTTATATAGGTTTTCCTTCGCTGTTTTTCTTCTTGCGGGTTGGGCTGGCGCAGTGAATTTGCACGTGTAAGCGCGACACTCGACAGCTCTCTCATCATCCTTGCGAATGAGATGATCATCATTCGTGTGGCGGAAGGTCAAAACAACCTCTGAGAAAAGAAAGCCCTGAGGGACTCCGAAGGTTGTTGGCTCAACTTCAAAAAAATGGGTACGACGATGTCGCGCCTGGATGATAGCCAAGTAATCTCGACAGCATACTGCGTGGATGACTGGTCTTTGCACTGAAATAACCCTTCAGTCATGTCTTTTCGCAAAGAACAATACCTGGCTCACTTGTATGAGCCGCCTGCATCATTTTCCTGATTACCGGTAGAAAATACCATCCCAAGACCAGTCATCCATGGTGGGTGGGACCCCCGCCTGCTCAAATGTCCATAGAATGGCCCACATTTTCCAAGTAAGGTCGAAACGTCAGACTTGGCTAGAAATTAGTCCCCAGGGGTAATCCAACCCGCTGAACATAAATGTGATGGTATTTCATTGCAATAACCCTTCTGACATGAACTACGAGGGGCAGCACAACAGCACCTTTGTTGGCTCACAATGTGCCCACAATATCATCGTTCAATGCATTATATCTTCGCCAGAACACACAGGCACGCGAATGGAATGGAAAGCCTGAAAAATCAAACATCCTCCGCGAAAGGATCTGATCTCACAAAGTGGCCCCCTGCAGTGCATAGCCAGACCCGTCGTGTTATCCACTGCGCCATCCGATCCGTTTGCAGCGGTTGTCAAGGGTTTGCTGACAAAAACATACTCTTGCGTCGGTGCATGCCAAGTGTGTGTTACCACATGATACTTACATTTTGACTTTAATCGAACCTATTTTGAGGCCTAATCAGTGACCACCTCATCAACTATGCATGCTCGAAGTTATAAGCAGAAAGGAGCCCATTAAGGTTGTTAAATAGCACCCCGCTTCTTGTCAAATTCTTTTCACTCCGTTTCTTGACCTACCCAGAAACGCATAGCAAAAAATGAAACCCATTTTTGTGACCCTTGTATGGACCCCTACAACAAGCAACAAACCATTTCCAAAAAGCGCGTCATGACTGAAAACACCGCTGCCCTATTCACTCCCATGACACGGTATGAACCAAGTAGGCAGTAAAATGCCTCTGCGACTAGAGTGAAGGGGCATCATAGAGGCTTTAGAAAATGTAGTGCTCTTCTCTTCCTTTCCACTTTCACGCTTGAATTCCTTTCATGTCAGTAGTTTTTGTAATGATGAATATCTTCGGCGCTACACGGCAATGCACCACTCATAACGGAGTCTGTGGATGCTCCCAGCTGCTCCCTTCCCACCCCCTCTGCAAACGCCGAAATATGTACTGTAAATCATGTATTATTGGCATGGCACATCCTGTTGGGGATCTCCAGTGAGGAGAACTGTATTTTGTCGTTAGAGGCGATTTCAAGACGTGTGCCCTATTATGGGAATCACGTGTACAGCCTACTAGCCTCTATTATTAGCCTTTATAGAAGCGAATCGAGCTCCTTTCTTTCCATGGAGTCTGCTGTGAATAACCCAGATTTGCCCAGCGCAAATGGATCACTACGTACCTCTTCTATCGCTGCATACTTGATTTCTAGTGGATCAAACAGGGCACATCATTAGATGGGGATTTCAGTCGAGTCTGTACGACCCCCCCCCTTTTTTTACATGGTAAATAGCACATGTGAAACAGGAAAAGCCGCGAGACAATACGACCCCCCTTCTACCAATTTTCAGATTTTCCCCAACTTCCTGCCACTTTTTCCAAAATTTCCCGAAAAGTTCCCTACTTTTCCCCAAAAATTTTGCTGTCGAGCGGGGGGAGGAGGGTGGAGGGAGGGGATTTATAGTACGCATGAAACAGGAAAATCACAAAAGTCAACCACCGCTCCTACAACGCCAAAACGTAAATACGACCTCCTCCCAGCAATGACCGAAGTGCGCTCCTCCCCTCTTTACAACGTCCGTGAAGCGAGAAAAATCAAGTTTACCCTTCTGACTTTCAGGGTGCTGGCGTATCATCAGCACTGATCGCAGTGATCTCGCGGAAGCTCGAGTTAAGCCGAGCCGAAAAGCATGTGAACAATTTCATGGCTGACTCAAAGCTGACCAACCAACGAAAAAACGCGGCCGCGTCGGTGCTCCAAGAGACTTGGTAGGTGTCATGGAGAACATCATGCAATTAGTTTATTGAGTTCCTTCAAATCAAATTTACCCTATCTCAGGTTCATCCACAAGTACAAAAAAGCTCTGCACAAAGGCGACGAATTACGTTTGCGCCATCACCAGCGACGATTTCTACATTCAATCAACGAGTTCCGAAGGATTAAATGGGATCAGCGTAAACTGCAGGAGAAGGGCAATTCACTGTTGGATGTTGGGAAGGTACGACTTTTGTGTAAAATCGAGGCCTGGCCGTTTATATCCTCGGCTACCTGCGCAGCTGCAGAGCGATATAGTCAAGACAGACACAATCCGAAATGGATGAGTGTTTCCGATTACTCAATGAGCAGTCGCAGTACATTAAGCTCACACGAGAAGTACCAAAACACGGTTGGCTACCATACCTGAATACGCAGGTGAAGCTGTCCAACGGCATTGCTAACGTGAAATGGTACCGCAAACCTAGCTGTAAAAATATCCTCATTCACGCAACGTCTTCACATCCTGCTGCAGTGAAACGTGCAGTCATCAGGAACATGATCACAAACCACGATGTGTACAGGCGATGAGGAACGACTAGAGTCAAGAGCTCTAGCTTCAAAAATTGCTAGAGAGAATGGTTATGCGGTACGAGACCATCGCAGGACATCGAGTGCTAGCCTACGACATGTATCACGCCAGGGAAGATACCCTTATGCCTTCCTTTTATTTCCGATGACATCAGCACTGAAATACGTCGCAGTAATGTTAGGGCAGCAATACAACCGACGAATGTTTGTCCTGGTGATATCCCAATAAGCAACATCAAACGCCAAACTTTGTGCGCAACAGACTGTACGACAGACAGTGCTTGACACCAGACTGCGTTATCTGCCCATATGGAAAGTCAGGAGATTGTGGGAAAGCTGGAGTAATTTATCAGCTTGAATGTAGGGCGTGTAACAGCACGTATATCGGAGAAACAGGAAGGGTATTGGCTACGCGCATCGGAGAACACCTAGCTGGGAAAAGGCGTGATATCAGGACCACTCCCTTAGGCAAGCATAAGATGGAGCAGCATAACGGGAACGACTTTGATGTTAAATGTGTTATACTGGCGTACGAGACGGAAACTTCAGCTAGGAAAGTTCTGGAATCATTCTGGATTTTCGCAAGAAAACCAAGAATGAACAACCGAAACGAGTGTCTGGCCATTACAAATGAATTCCTGCCGTTTGTATCAGAGTGCGAGCACGTAGCAGTAGCTGCGACCGTGCGCTATGACAATTTTGACTTATGCGACACAGTGAGACACAAGTCAGTCTCATTCGTCCTTACTGGTACTACTAACTTGCTGCGTGAGCTGAGCTCCGCACGGTGATACCTCGGTGAGTTGTTAGGATTCATTGCCGGGGTTTTTGGGAAGCGTTCGGGAAACGAGGTCGGAAACGCTAGAGTGGGGAGGGCGTTTGGTCGGGTAGGTAACAAATTAAAAGCTTCGAGCCATTTTCAGGCTTCTGAAGAAGACGAGAAGGTCGAAACGTTAGGCCAATAGAGGTGTCATCTTAAAAAAAACCTCGTTTGGCAGAAGTATTTAAATATTCGAAGTCAAGACAGGGAAGTCTGGTAGGAATTAAGCTGAAAGTATTATACAGTGTCATCATTGAAGTTAGTCAGGGCGTTTCAGCGGCACGCGGGTTTTCGCGCCGCGCCAGCCCTTTCCCACGACTCATTTAGCGCCTGAGCCGCAACAAAAAATGGAAGAAAAGCTGGCGGCGCACTTGGCACGCCGTGGCTTACTTTACTGATAATGGCTATGCGTGCAGAGCATTCTGCGACAGTCGTGTAAGCCGGGAGACGGCTGATGACTCATAGAAACAGTCTCCCCCATTTCTTGCAGTTCCTTGTCTTTCCCCAATATCGCAACAAGGGACGCACAATGGGAAGGCACAACGGTTTAATGATGACTCCAGAAGCATTTACCGTAGAGAGTACCGTTTACTCATGGCTTTGTTTTGGCAGCGCAACTGTGTCTGGGTGTTATGGGCTAGAGGAAATTGGCGGCTACAGTGTGAATAGCGCGTTCGCTGCAGGCGCATAGTAGGAGGGGATGAAAGGAGAAGAGAAGAGGAAAGGGGGGTGGGGGGGATTTGCCGCGGCGTCCACCCTTTGTGCACCAGAAGGAAGTGGCGAAGCGGGAACGTGGCAACAATGTCGCCTGTCCGCTTCAACAGTTGTTGCAAAATAGGGAGGCTGGCCGAACCTAATCCCCACCCACTGATACACCCGAGCGTCTTTAGTGGAAGCGGTGACAAGACAATGGTGCGGTGAGAGAAGGACAAGACAATGGTAAGTCGTCGGCGCGCGGCGTATTATGCGACCATGCGCGGCAACTTCTCGATCTGCGCCAGTTTATAGATTGGAGCAACTAAACTAACGGGAATAAAAGAGAATACAATGTTGTGCTCCTGATGATATCGATGTTTTCCGTCCGCATGACAATCAAAATCAGATGCCCGGCCACAGCTCGTCCCTCGCGTGCGCGGCGTTGCTCATCGGCGCGGCATATCACGATTTTCTTGTCACATACCCGAAGACGACTATACTAGTCATTGAAATTTAATATCTTATAGTTTAATTTCAGCTGCACTCGGACATGCACGAAACATTGTGGGAGATGCATCGTGCCCAAGATCATTTCATCTCACAGATCGACATGCTCACCCAGAAGATCGTTGAACTGCAGCAGACTCTCTTTGCACAGTCGGCCGCTGGTCATCCTTTAACGTCAGCAGGAGCATGTTGTTCGCAAAGACCGCCGTCAGCACCCCTATCATCTCACGATATGGCCAATCAGCCGATACTGAACTCGAGCGCCAGCATTCCACGAATATCCGTTGCTAATCATCATTTTCATCACAACAACAATGGCTCGTTGAGTAACGGATGTATGATATCGGACTCGAAACTGTATGGACAGTGTCAGGTGGGCAATTTTATGTACCTGTTCGAGATTTTGAAATACACATGACTTCATAGGAAGGTGGGAAGGGGAGGGGGGCGACATGGTGATTGCAGATGTGCTCATTCCTTGCTCAGTCACGTGAAGAAATCCGACCCTTATAAACTGAACGCTTATAATCAGCAGGCTTAGTTCCTTGTGGTGAACTTGCCTGGTAGAGTAAGAATAAGAACTCTGGGTTGAAGGCAGACTGTTCAATTACCTCTGTTCATCCTGGTTCTTGTCGTGTTGGGCGTGTATAGCGTGCCACTTTCTTCGGGTTAAAAATGCAGTGGAACGGGGCTGGGTGGTAATGATACCCAGGTACCGTCTCCATACTCCGCTTGTGGTAATGTTAGGCCATCCAGACGATTAACCATGGCTGAACTCGCCACTTGTCTGCGACCCCTCACTTCTGGGTGTTGTCTACCGCTACGCGCGTGTTTTGCTGCGGTTTTGGTATCGATGCAAGTGCTGCACATTGAGAGCGCAAGCGTAGTATGGAGACGCACTAACCTTTCAACCGCGTTCCTGTACACTTTTGAGCGGAGAAGGTGGCACGCTACTGCAGCTGCGGTTCCATTGACCTGGCCATGGGAAGAACTATCCCTGGAGGTGATTGTGCAGTTTATCTTTGAGCCAGGTAGTGACGCTTTCTTAGAAGTGCTAGGCTGAAATCAGTTTCGAATAACAACCTGTACTGATGACCTACCTCACTGTTACGACTATAATGTGCACCGAATTTTATAATCTTTTCGTCTTGAACTATTGGGTAGCAATAAACCCTTCGTTGTTCCAGGTTGGCCAACTGTCTGAGTGCCCGACCGGTGGCCGATACGCCACCGTCACTACACCGCTGATGCACTCGTGTGGAGAAGTGTGACGGTGACAACTATGAGTCTCAAGTCCGGAAGAATACGGTCACTGAATGCGGGTACGGTAAGGCTGGTCGACAATCTGCAGACACATATATATGACACCGGTTCATAAAGCATAATGCGTGGTCTGATTTGTCTGAGACGTCATTTATTCTGTATTGTGATGTTGTTCTCTACTAGAATTCATTTGATGGTTTACGATCAACTGAGTCAACGAGTAGGTCTATCTCCGGTGATTGCAACCTATAATTGTTGCAAGAGCAGACGCAGAGAATGTCACACGTGTAGCGGTTGTGAATCGCTGCGGAGTTTACCTGCGTCTTCGATGGAATGCCGCAGGGCCCTTTGGAAGTCGGATAGAGTGCAGGCCCAACTGGTTTCTCCTTCTGCTGCTAGCAATCGATGTGAATAAAGCGCTACTGTAGTCGAGCTGCTAGCAATCGATGTGAGTAAAGCGCTACTGTAGTCGAAGGGGAGGGGCACGCGGCGAAGTTTTTTCCACAGCAACGAAGATGCGCAAGTTCTTGTCGTCTGCGTTTTGCTGAGGCTATGCGTCTAGAGCGAAAGAGATCATATCACCGCGCCGCTACCGGGCTCCCCTCAACTACAGTAGCGTCATTAATAATACTTCTGGTGACAACTTTCGGATCACTCCTTCCTATTGATAGACGATTCTTTATCAGTGGAACGAAAATGTACATAATAGGGAACCGATCCCCCTTTCAGCCTGAACGGACCATTTCACACCTCATCTTATAGTTTCAGATACTCTTCCAGAATATCTACTACTTTTGAAAGAGCCTCACAACTTATAAAGAACTAGGTGCAATAAAACAACGAAAGATTCTCTCACTAAGCCGTTTAGGTTTTTAAAAGGACTTCTAGAATTTTGAAAAGAAAACTTAATTTCCTTCAACGTATGTGCACTCATTGCAAAGCTCGTTCACTGATGATGCTGTAAATGTACATATCGGTTTCAATCGTTTCTGTCATTATTAGAGATGATGGTGTTCCTCACAACTGTTGAGTCTAGGTGAGATGTTTTTCTCCTCCCCAATCAGACCAAATGCACCATACGTGATGTTGTTCATTGTACGTATTGATTTTGTGATTACCTGGTTGTTTCGCAGTGAAATGTACTAGTAAAAATTTGTATAATATATTATGTGATCAATAAATTTGTGAAAATTAACGGTTGCATTGCATTTTGTATCTGCCGAAGGAGGAATCGTTCAATTGGACAGATTGCCCGATAATGACAGTGTTCGAAGGATAACACTCATCTCCGTGAATCCTGGTCCTTGCCATAAGGTGAATTGATCCGTAGCTAAAGCGGCGTGCATTTTATCCTGAAAAAAGTGCACAAGAAATAGAGA